CTTATTGTAGTGTGAAAGGTTGCCACAAAGCACCTAAAATCCCCATAGTTGAAGATCCAATAAAGCTTGTTACGAGGTATTACTCATCAATCTCTTGTTTTATCTTTCTCTTCTTTTATTTTACATTGTTATAATAAAAATAATCATGTAGATATTTTAGAGTCAATTGTTTAATTTAAATTTCAAGCATGTAAATAGTCATCAATAAAAGGGGATTTAATATTTATATTATTATTATTTATAATGTTAAACTTCGTCATAGGGTACCGATTAAGGGCGTTGTAGGGGTGCTTAATACCTTCCTTACACGTAACCGACCCCCGAACCCAATTCTGGTTATCAAGGCCATTATTGGACTTTTAAAAACCTTTTCTTTTTCCAATGTTTTGAGTAAAATATTGGTGGCGACTCCATGAACCTATTTTCAAAACCATTAATTAAGGATTAGTCTGGTGTTTGGGCATTCCTTAATTGATGAGATCTTTAAAAGGATGTCTAAACCATAGGTTGCAAGATCGGAAATTTTCGGGTTGCGACAACGTTATCTATGGAATTTTCTGTAGATAACCCATGAAAGTTGTTATCTATGGATTTTATCCATAGATAACTTTCGAAAAAAATTTATTTAATTTTAATAAATTTATTAATGTAACATTCCTCATATTTGGGCTCTCAAGGATGTCATTTGTAACGTAGTGAGGAGACTTTTGAGTTTAGTTGACTCTAGAGAGAGAAGAGTATATAAGGGTTTCCCTGAGAAAGGAACTTCCTAAGTTCATTCTCAAAGAAATTAGATAGAAGTTTTAGAGAGGACTCTGGGTCCATGAGCTCCTTTCTCTCTCAAATTTCTCTGGTTGATTCTTCTTCTTCTCTAGATCACTAACTTCTTCTGTCTTCTCTTGGTATTCAGGTTAGGAAGCTTGATTTTGAAGGATTAAAGTTTGAGAGTCGAGCTTGGAGGAAAGTCTTCTTCTTCCCAAAGTCAGTTTTTTGAAGTCAATCTTCAGCTAAGGGAAGCTAGAATGTATGTTGTTTGCTTGCATGGGAGTTTAGGAACTCCATTGATGTATGGAATTCGACAATAAGTAATTTAATCGAGTGATTTCCTCATTTTTGGGGTTTTTAAGAAAAATGGGGTTTTTATCAATTTTGATGCATTGATTGGTTGCATGTTGAATCTGAACTCATTTTTGAGTTCTAGGGAGTCTATATGTTGCATTTCATGGATTGCTTGTGGTTGAAGTTGCTCATTTTCAGGTTTTGAAGGAATTTTTGAGGATTTTGGAGGTTTCTGGTTGAATATGCATCGGGCATTCTTCATTTGGGGCCACCAATGTTAAATCACACCGGGCGCGAGGCTAGTCGAGTCGGGCGTGGAGATTCTTGTTAGTCTCTGTTTGAGTTTGCGCCGGGCATGACACTAATGCACCGGGCGTGAGTATGTTGGTCTTTAACTCTTCATGAAAGTTTTAGCCTTGGATGTTAGCTTTCCAATGGTGCTTGAATGACCCAAGAAAAGGTCTAGAACTCTAGAAATGGCTGTTTTAGTGAAGAGGGGTCAAGCTACCAGTATTGGTTATAGCTGTTGCGGTTTTTAGAATTTTTAACAAGGTAGATGAAGGAATTAGGACTTGGTGTCTTCATGAGAGTTGTAGTAAATCTTCTTATCTTTCATATGATATAAGGATGAGCATGATAGGAGTAGTATAACTCCCGACATTCTATTCTATGTAAAGGTTGCCATTTCACAAGGAGTGATTTGGATAAGTTGAAGGTTGTCTTGGGTGTGTAGGTTAATTCATGCTGTATATGTTGTGTAGGTTGGCATGATAGATGATTTTTAAACATGATGGGAGAGTTGTATTATGTGTTGAATATGTTGTATGTTGTGAAGTTGTTGATCTATTATATGTTGAATTGATGATATTGTTGAAGCATGTTAAAGTTAAGTGGTTAAAGTTGTTTTATGTTATGAGTTGGCTAATTATGTTGTGAAATATGATGAGATGATATAGTTGAAAGTTGTGAAGTGCATGATGATAATATTGTGAGAAGCATGATGTGAAGTGTGTAGAGGTGTTGAGATTTATATAGAAGTTATTAGTAGACTGTGTTGCTAAGTTGTTAGAGGAAAGATGTATGTTGTTATAAAGTTGTATGTTGTACCATGTGTTGAAAGATATTATTTTAGGATGATTGATCTGTAGATTAGGAGTTGAGCCGTTAAGCTGTTGAGTTCATCATGCTATTTAAGATGTTGAGCTGACTTGTGTTGTTGATTTGATCATGCTGTTTAAGTTTTTGAGATAAGTTGTGTTGTTGAGTTGATCATGTTGTTCAAGTTGTTGAGCTGATCTGTGTTGTTGATTTGATCATGTTGTTTGAGTTGTTGAGCTAAGCTGTGCTGTTGAGTTGATCATGCTGTTTAAATTGTTGAGCTAAGTTGTACTGTTGAGTTGATCATGTTGTTTAAGTTATTGAGTTAAGTTGTGCTGATTGAGTTAATCATGTTGTTTAACTTGTTGAGCTAAGTTGTGTTGTTGAGTTGATCATGTTGTTTAAGTTGTTGAGCTGAGTTGTGTTGTTGAATTGTAAGTTGATTAAGCTGTGATGATGAGCTGTTGATCACTAGGACTAGGGGAGATGTTTTCGAGGTTGCTCATCCCATTGTGTGGATTGAGAAAGATGTGGTGCTTAGAGAGCCCAATTTGTTGAAAACCCTCCTTGGGAAGTTGTCCCTTGGAGTGGACATTTTGTTGTTCTCCTCTAGGACTTAGTTGGTCCCGTGTGTGGGCAAGGTCGAGGCACACGTGTACAAAGCGACTACGGTATAGAGGCCAGGTCAAGCTATACCGATTAGAAAGCGTCCAATTTGAGTAAAGTACGAAGTCAGGAACTTTGTTCCTAACCGAGTATCGGAAGGTTGTAGTATTTGGAGGATAGTTGGTAGGCTAATCCCATAGGTGGCTTAGTTAAGCTAGCTAATGTCGTGGTAGGCCTAAACCTAGCTGTTTTATCCTGACATAGTACTATACTACCTTGTTTAAGTGGCAAAGTTTGAGAAATCGTTATCATCCTATGGATTGGTATCCAAATTTGTTGTTTACTTAGCAATCCCAACAAGGTTCTTTGCTATCGGTTCGGTAGGACCTAGCCACTTAAACTACTCACCCATGTTGTAAGAGATCTCCGAGTTGAAATGCGTGACGACGAATAAGCTGTTGATGTATTTAATTCATGTTGATATGAGTTGTATATGTGTTGTTGTGTTGTGAAGCTTTGATTGAGTTGTTTGTTGTTATGTGTTGTATGTTGACCCTATTAAGGATGATGATAGTGCTGTTATGTTGTAAGTAGGTTATTTGTATACAAGTTGATGATGATGCTAGCGTTACTAGATTACCTGTGTTGTAAGTTGCTTTTAAACATGTGTTGTTGAGAGGTTTCCAATACATGTGTTGGTTGTTATTATGATGAATATGGTAACTATTCCAATGATTTGTGCAATAGATGTGATGAAGTGTTGATACAGTAGTGATATGTTAAATTTAGTTGAAATGATGCTAAGATGTATATTATATGTGTTGTTGTCTTCTATGTTGGATGTGAAGATGATTGTATTGTTGGTGTGTTCAATATTTAATTATTATAAGTTGTTTATTGTCTCTAGCTTACCTCTTTTCGCACAATTCTTGAAAATAACCTATCAAGAAATCTAAAATACAACCTTTATGCAATTTGAATAACAAATAATAGTAGATTACAAGGTTTATTACTAACGTAGCAGAATATCAAAGTAAATGCAGCGAATCAATCACTTGCAATCAAGGTTGATTTTACATTACCTTCTTTTTAATCAATTTCAATTATAAGAATAAAGATCAGAGTTGGTATTATAATTGAAATTTTGTTTTTCACAAATCTTTAAAACAAGAAATCAACAAGATTCTTAAAGATAAGGGTAAGAAGATAAAGAACACAGAAATTTATACTGGTTCAGTCATCCACTTGGCCTACATCCAGTTTTCCTTGATTTAGCACCCCACTAAACCAAAGATCATTCACTATAATATTTTTTTACAAACACCTTGCACACACAATATTACAAGAATTCAAACAAGCATCAATCTTGACACCCCAAGATTGAAATCAATCAAAATTTTTGTACCCCGCAAAAATTACTTGAGAAACCCTACTTAAGATTTCATCATCTCTTGTTGAGACACCCTATCTTAAGAGATACACCAATTAAAATGAAAATACAAGTTTAAAGATCAGAGTAATATCACCTAATTTTGTGAAGATGTTGATCTTTCGCTATTGAATACAATTATTGAATTTCTTCTTTCAAGAATTCATGTTCTATCTTTGCACTTCTTGAAATTTCAGAAAATTTCTTTGGTAACACTTCTAATCTTGTTTCTAAAAGTATTCCTTTTCTCAGATGTTTTTTTTCTAAAAGATTTTCAAAAAGTTATCTTAAAGATTCTTTTTAATTTCAAAAAGATTGATTTTATAGAGTGCAAGACGTGATTTAGTGATAAAGAGTAATAACATAAGTAATCTATTACTTGTGATGGTAATCTGTTACTTGCTCTTTAAAATTGAACCAAAACAGAAAACTGTCTAGGGTAATCGATTATCTCTAGGGGTAATCGATTATCCCGTGATTCTAAAGTCCCAAAATTTCCTTTCATTCTGTGGTAATCGATTATCTATATTGGTAATCGATTAACACGATGAAAACTTCATTTTTTCAGCCTGATTCCAAGCAAGAGACTCTGTTTTAATCTATTACCAACTTTGGTAATCTGTTATTTTAGAGAGTACTTGAAAAACATTTTTTTTTCAATAACAAACTTTGTAATCTATTAACACAGAGGACATTTGAATATCTTTTTTCTAGTAACAGGTTTGATAATCTATTACCCTGAATGGTAATTTGATTAACAAAGTTACCTTGAAAACTCTTGTTTGAATCAAGTCATATTTCTATGTTTAAACACTTGGTAGTAAATTACCTTTTTCAAAATTATCTATTACTTCATGTTTACTCATGGAAATACTTAAAAAACAAATTCTTGGTTTCTTTAAAAACTTGACAAGTTCATGAATTAAACATTCATTATCATCATCAAACATAAACAAACACACACAAGCCTATATCTATTGTAATCAATACAATATCCTTTTGAATAGGCTCAAACATCATTTATACATTTATATCATCAAAACTAAAACTTCTTGAGGAGTCTTCTTGTTATCTCAATAATCTCCAACACATGATGTTTTAAGTTATTGATGTTTTATGAAAATTGAGAAATACGATGACTTTGGCTATACAAGAAATAACATGATGATTCGCCTTGAGAAAAAAATAAGATAATCATTGATAAATATTATATATTTTTCATGTTTGAATATATGTAATATTTGCTAAAATAAGAGGTGAGAGACTTTATATAAAATTTCAGTTTATAATTTGATTTTAAGTTATGGGGCAAACTTCATTTATTCTACCATCTAATTCTTTTTTTCTATAAGTACTATTAGAGTAGTTTGTTTGAACATAACTTGTTTCAACACTCACATCTCAAAAACTGAAATTAATACAAGTGGTTGGTTTTTGTGGCTTTTTATCTTATTTCTTCCATAGATCATTCTTGATTTTATTATTTTTTCAGTGTATTGTGTAGATCCCTATGATATAAGACATTTGAATTTGAACATGTGATCTTTATTTTCAAAAATATATTATTTATCATTTATGTGACTTGTTAGATTCTTCTTCGAGGGCATGTGATTGTGGTGCTCAAGAATTTGAACCCATCAATCCTACTAAGTGTTTAAGATATTATTACCAATTTATAAGAATAAATTATTATATGATATAAGAAGTATGTTTAGTATTTTTCATTTTTTTTATTTTATCATAATACTATCTTTTGATTTCTAAGAGACTATACTTAATAATATTTTAACAAATATTGTCCTTTAATTTAATAGCAATATTTATCTAACAATATGTTTTAAGACAAAACTAGAAATATAAATTGAGTATCAAATATTAGTTAGCAAATAGATTTTAAGTATATATATATATATATATATATATAT